ACATTTTTACCGCTACAGTACCTATTATTCCTCAGTGGAGCTAGTTTTCTTTCCCTAGTGGAGCAAGTATCATATCTCCCCAGTATGGTGTATATGGGAATGCCGGTCATAAATCTTTCATCCCTGAGGATAAAAGATTTTGTTGAGATGTCCCTAGTGGAGTTTATATCCTAGGATGTTTGTTTCTTCCCCAAGTGAATACTTTTTAACCCCCAGAGGTGTTATCCCCAGTGTGGTATGAGTAAATTATTTTTATTTAAGAATTTGTATACTTCATAGTAGAAGTTATCTTCATCAAGAAATTCTACGCGAGAAAGTTTCCATCTCCAGCGAAGTTATCCTCTTTCTAACAGAGGATAAAGAGTTTGTTCCCTAGAAAGTTGGGAGTTTGATATGAATTTAATATTTTCCCTGAACTGCAATTTACTTTTGCAGTATATTCTCCCTAGGAAGTTACTTCTTCAGTGACATTGATCTTTAGAGGTTGGTGGTTCTGAGTCTCCATTCTTCATTGAAGTTCAAATTACCTTTTCTCTACAGAAGATAAGATGTGCAAGAATAATCGTTCGGAAGTTTATTGTCTTCTCAGCAGCCGATTATTGATGTGTTTTCCCCAATGGATTGCTAAACATGCATCATTACATTGCATCCACCAAAACACATAGCGTTTCCATTTTAAGGAGCATTACGCTATAAAAACTCAAACATGCATAAGTATAAGCCAATTGTGTTTACTTGTAGTAACCAGATTGTTATGCACTCAAATTTGAATTATCTCCACATCAAGCCCAGGGTGATCCTATTCTGCTTCCCAAATAGAGTCCGTTGGATTTACCACAAGTTGGGTCATTGGTATCTTCCATTTCCCCGGTAAGTTTGTGGTTTGTTCTTGCCCTTGCAACCCCTTGGTTATTTTACATGTGTTTGCTTTTGTCGTTAGAGTGTGAGTAAGAGTCAGTGTATAGCCTTTCTTGCTTCTCAAGTATTTAAGTATCCATACTTAGTGTGTGGTAATTCATATAATTTCAACTCTGGAAGAATTACACCTCGCCTTTGGCCTGAGGGATTTTGTAGTTATTGCATATTCATAACTCATAAAGCCCAACATGTGTTGGAAATCTTTGTTTAGAGTCCCTACAGTTGGTCTATTTTTTCTAATCACAAGTCCATCAACGATTGGCATTCTATTTGGGTTCAATACAAAGTTGAATTCCCAGTAAGTTCTTTTCCCAAGAGTCCTATTCGGTTGGTCTTTCTTCCTTGTAAGGTTCGTCTTCGCCCGATGTTCTCTCTTCTCTGGAATTCACCTTCGCCCAGTGTCTTTCCGTCTTAGGTTCAACTTCGCCTGATGTCCTTTTTTTTGGTTAAGGTTCATCTTCACCCGACGTTTTCTTTTCTCCAAAATTCACCTTCACCTGATGTCTTTCCGTCTTAGGGTGACCCTTCTCCTGGTGTCCTTTTTTATTGGTTAATATTCTTCTTCTCCCAACGTTCTCTTTTCTCCAGAATTCACCTTCGCCCGGTGTCTTTCTATCTTAGGTTCACTTTTGCTCGGTGCCCCTTTTTTGTTGGTAAGTTCGCCTTCTCCCGATGTTCTTTCTCCGAACTGGTAAATTCATCTTCGCCCGGTGTCTTTCCGTATTTGTTCCATCTTCGCCCGAAATCCTTTTCTTTGTTAGTTAAGGTTTCGTCTTCACCTGACGTTCTCTCTCCTTTGGTAAGTTCGCCTTCAATCAATGTTCTTTCTCTAGGAGTCTATCCGGGTTAGTATTCCTTGATATATCTGGTTGAGATTACTTTATTAGATCTCTTCCATCTTCGATATCTTTGGTCGAGGCCGTTGTGTTAGGCCTCTTCCTTCTTTGATATCCTTGGTTGAAATTATTGTGTTAGATTTATTCCTTCCTTGATGTATCTGGTCGAGATCACTTTGTTAGATCTCTTCCCTCTCCGATATCTTTGGTCAAGTCTGCTGTGTTAGGTCTCTTCCTTCTTTGATATCTTTGGTTAAAATTGTTGTTTTAGATTTCTTCCTTCCTTGATATATCTGGTCGAGATCACTTTGTTAGATCTCTTACATCTCTAATATCTTCGGTCGAGTCCGCTCTGTTAGGTCTCTTCCTTCTTTGATATCTTTGGTTGAAATCTCCGCGTTAGATTTCTTCCTTCCTTGATATATCTGGTTGAGATCACTTTTTTAGATCTCTTCCATCTCCGATATCTTCGGTCGAGTCCGCTGTGTTAGGTCTCTTCCTTCTTTGATATCCCTGGTTGAAATCACTGTGTTAGATTTCTTCCATCCTTGATATATCTGGTCGAGATTGCTTTGTTAGATCTCTTCCATCTCTGATATCTTTGGTCGAGTCCGCTGTGTTAGATCTCTTCCTTCTTTGATATCTTTGGTTGAATTCGTAGTGTTAGATTTCTTCCTTCCTCGATATATCTCTGATCGAGATCATTTTGTTAGATCTCTTCCATCTTTGATATCTTCGGTCGAGTCTGTTGTGTTAGGTCTCTTCCTTCTTTGATATCTCTGGTTGAATTTGCTGTGTTAGATTTCTTCCTTCCTTGATATATCTGGTTGAGATCACTTTGTTAAATCTCTTCCATCTTCGACATCTTCAATCGAGTTCGTTGTGTTAGGTCTCTTCCTTCTTTGATATCCCTGGTTGAAATTGTTGTGTTAGATTTCTTTCTTGTTTGATATATCTGGTCGAGATCACTTTGTTAGATCTCTTTCATCTCCAATATCTTCAGTCAAGTCCACTGTGTTAGGTCTCTTCCTTCTTTGATATCTTTGGTTGAAATCGTTGTGTTAGATTTCTTCCTTCCTTGATATATCTGGTCGAGATCACTTTGTTAGATCTCTTCCATCGCCAATATCTTCGGTCGAGTCTGTTGTGTTAGGTCTCTTCCTTCTTTGATATCCCTGGTTGAAATCATTGTGTTAGATTTCTTCCATGATTGATATATCTGGTTGAGATCACTTTGTTAGATCTCTTCCATCTTCGATATCTTCGGTCGAGTCCGCTGTGTTAGGTCTCTTCCTTCTTTGATATCTTTGGTTGAAATTGTTGCGTGAGATTTCTTCCTTGTTTGATATATCTGGTCGAGATCACTTTGTTAGATCTCTTCCATCTCCTATATCTTTGGTCAAGTCTGTTGTGTTAGGTCTCTTCCTTCTTTGATATCCCTGGTTGAAACCGTTGTGTTAGATTTCTTCCTTCCTTGATATATCTGGTCGAGATCACTTAATTAGATCTCTTGCATATTCAATATCCTCCTTATATCCGCTACCAACTCAGGGTATATATCTTCGATATCTTCCTGTATGTGTCCGCTACCAACCCCGAACATGCACTTTTGATATCTTTCTTTTCATGTGTTCAGTACTAACTCTAAACAGATGTTACTTGATAACCAAGTTCTTTTCTGTATGTCTAACCCTAGTCTGACATACAGTTACCCCGATAGCCCATTTTACCCAAAAAGCAAAAAAACATAAAATACAGAAAACCAAAAAAATAAATAATACCTGACTATCTTCGGAGTGCAAATTTTCAGGTTCTTTTAAATATTTAATCTTATTCCACCTTGAATGTTCGAAAGGCTAGCACCAATCTCACCTTCATGCTGAAGGCGATTAAATAGGGGCAATTGTTGGACCCCAAATTTTCCATCCTAATTGTCCTTCTATCTGGCTTAGGCTTTTGCATTCATATCTTTTCATTAGGTCATCTGCATTAACATAGAATGCATTTGTATTGAATAAAGCGCATGTGGTTCAAAAGTTCGGTGGGCGTGCAATGTCAGGGTTTTCGCATTCTTTTGAGGTGTGCATATCAAATAAAGCTTGATGTTACTGATTCTCCTGATTCTTCTTCAATCAGTGAATATGTTGAATTAGGATTTCTGTGGCTTCAAGGATATCCTTCCAATAAAAGGGTATTAAATGTATCCCTTCATCAGTGATTCCAACTGAGAAGACTGTGAACTATGGCTTTGATGGTAAGATGCTTCTTCATTCAATGTACTTCTCATAAGATCAGGATTTTTCATCTAATGTGTTTCAATTGAATTTCCTTAGAGATGATATTATGTGATCCAAGTATCATCTCCATATCCGAGGACTATTCAGAGTATATTCATTGTGATAGACTAAAATACAAGTACCATGGCTTAGGATATGAGCTTGAGGATTCTTTTTATTTTATTTCAAGACCTGATTTCTTTGAGAGTTGAAGATTAATTTGAATTCTCTTATTGGTTATCATTCATTCTTGTTGTCTAAAGAATTCAAATGGATTGAAAAGACTTAAGGTTTGCAAGGCTGGAAAAGAAAGAATTTGTTTGGAATTAAAGTTACAAGTTACTAAACAGAGATTATTGTCATTTACCATCAAAGTTGCATTTAAAATTATTCAAGAGTTTATTTAGGTTCAAGTTGAAATATTATTCAGAGAAAGAGGATTGATAAACTTGAATTAACCTTGAAGAAGCTTTAGTTTTAATTTAAAAGGGGTTTGAATTACAAAATAATTCAAGATACCAAAAATCATTCACAAAAAAAAAACAAGATTTAAAATGATGCTTCATTCAGGAGAAATTTCTACTCCAAGATTCAAGGGAAGTTAAAGGTAAATACGAAGTTATTGTTCAGGCGGTGAACAAGCATTGGGGTTTTCATTAATTTCATTCGAATTTCATTCAAAAGTTCATCATGCTCATTCATGTTCACCCATGATTCAAAAACAGTCAAAATGTCATTCAAGTTTTATTACATCACTAAAAGGAAATTTCAATTCCAAAACCATTGAAATAATCAAACATCATTCAAGATTCATTCAAGTGTCTTCAAGATCAAGTTTCAAAGTGCATTCATGATAAATCAAGCCATGTTTAAAGCAAATTTCGATTCAAGAAATATTAGAAGATACATTCAAGGAAATTGCAGATACACGAAAATCATTTCCTAAATTCTAAGCTCAAATCCTAGGAATATGCATAAGACCATGTTGCATAGAAACTCAAATAGAGATGAAAGAATAGCTGCTCATGAGTTTTTTCTTACATTGACTGCTTGTAGTACTGTGATTCCCATACTTACTGATGGTGGATTTTATGGTTGTGGAATAAGTGAATCAAATGGATATGTAGAATGCATTGGTTATCAGAGTGAATCCCAGGATGAACAAACTCTAGTTTTTGCAGCCTCTGCATATGGACATACTCTTCTCGAACTGACATCTGGACATATTGTTATTGACATCAACGATGAGAAACTCAGGTTGGATGTGTTGAACATGCATACAAACTAAATGGGATCAATGTCATGACCATGGTCGTGCCTTAGTTTATATAAAAACCAGAAATTTTAAATTAGTCCACTGCAGAAAATCGGAATTAACAGCATAATCGCAACTCAGAATTGAAACAACCATGTATCCACATCTCAGTTCAAAAAAGAAAACTGTGGAAAAGAATTAACCACCTCATAACAGAAATTTCAAATCCTAACTAACCATAATTTCCAGCTCCATAACAGAATTCAACTAACTTCACATCCCATCCTAACTGAATCTAACAGAATCTCATAACTGCCTAACCAAATGCTGATTCAACTTTAATTGATTCTTCCAACAAACTCTAAATGACTTTCTACCAACTAAACGATATAACAGAAAGAGAGGGAGAGAATTCACGATTTCTTTACCATAAAGGTGAATTCTCAAGAAATTCTCTCTCAACTTCACTAGTCTTCATCATCCATTCTTCAATTCTCCATCAACAACCTTCATCTTTCTCTCTAAAAATTACAACCTCACAATAACAAATTTTCATCAGATTTTTTCTCCAACCTCTCTGGAATCCTCCATCACCAAAAAAACCAGAAAATTCCTTTCACCTTTTCAACCTTCTGCAACCTACTTTCATCGAGGAATCTGCATCAAAGCTACAACACTTCCCTTCAATATTGATCATGTATTCCTCAACATCCTAACATCAAACAATTATCTTCACTCTGCAATTGAAACTGCACAATCAACTACAACAACATCACGATAGCCCCGCAACAAAAATGCAGAAACACAATTGTAGAAAAAGTGGAACCAGAGGAAGAATAGGATAGGAAACACATACATAAGCACTCGAATTCTCACCTCTGGATTTCGTGTGAATCTCTTTTGAAACTGAATCCCATTTTTAGGTTATGATGCTTTCGGATTTTGCAATCGAGAAACCATAAGGATGGAGCCAGAATTAGAAGCACGATGGACTTAGGACAAAGCTTCAAATTGAGATAGAAGGTGTTATTTGTGTGAAAGTTGAAGATCGCGACGAAGATGGTGATTGGACCGGAGGCAGAATGGTAGTCGCGACAGAGATTGATCAATGATTGAGATTTGCAGATTCAGGATGAAGGCAGTGAGGCAAAGCTGACTCGACGAGGTTCTTACGTTTCTGGCATTAGCCGTAACAGTCTTTGTTGGTGCAGCAGAATATTGAGAGAGAAGAGAATCATATTTTCTCGAGGAAGATCAAAGGGCACAAACTTTTGAACCATATCCCTTTCCAAACGCACAGTTTCATAATTTTTTTCTTTTAATTTTTCTTAAGTTTTTTTAATTTAATGTTAACAAATCATTACTGAAATATTTGCTGGGCTTGTGTTACTGCAAACCGAACCGAAGCCCACTGGGTTCGTGTGTTTTTTGTTTAGACAGGATGAAGCAAACAAAAATTTGGTAGTTGTTATTGGACTTTGCTTTGGCCTGTATCATTTTTTTGCAGCTTGGAAGCTTGCAACAAAAAGATCTTCTTGGACTCATTCTGCATTGGGCTTAACACCAATTTGCTTCAGCACACATGTTTCTGGACTGCACCCCCAAAGCCCGCAATAACTATTTTCTGGAAGCCTAATTGCTTGTAACAAAAAAGGCTTCATGGACTGGGCTTAGCACCAGAATTTGGATTGCTATGTAGCAGCATTGTGTACATATTGCACCCCTTTTTTATTATTTGCATTTTTGTTTAGATATTTTTGATAATTGTTTTATTTGAGTTTTTTTACATGATAAAAAATAATAAAATCAAATATAAAAACTTGTTAGATTTTTTTATTTTGATTTTAGGAATTAAATATCGATTATCCGATTTTTTGAGATTGGTAATTCACCTTTTCTTGTTGAGATTTGAGTCTTATGCAGGTTTATTGTGCAATGTGAGGATATACTTGAGATTTCAATTATGATTTATTTTGACATTGATGATGCTTCGACATTTATTCCGAGCATTTGATCTCTTACTCTTTTCCATTGTTGGTGAAGCTTACTCAAAGTTTTCCGGATATCTCTGTTTTTGCTCGCAGCGCTATGAACTTTTGTTCGTTTGGTATTTTCTTCTATTTACCTCATTTTAGCATTTACCTCTTTCTAGAGATCATGTATAGCAGGTACATTTATCTCTTTCTAGAGATCATGTGAAGTAGGAAGCAGGAAATAAAGAGCGTGCGCTCAAAGTCGCTGTTTAAAGTCTTGTAGCAGACACCGCTTTCTGTATGCTATATGTGTTTGTTTAAAATCCTACCTTTGAAGTAGGTATTCGACACATGTGTTTGCATTTGCGCCCACATTATATTACAGATGATAAGTCCTTAAAAGGAGGCAAGCGGGAAGGGTCCATAATTGACCCCCATACGTTCTAGTCCGTGTCATCCTTAGCTCACATTGTACGTTGATGCTTCAGAGTTATACAAATCTTGTGTATCGAGTCCGTCAAGTGGGGAAAGGTTTTGCAATCAAACCCCCATACTTTTTCAAGAGTTCGCATTGGCCGATGCTGACACCCCGTGATCGTTTATATTGTCTTCTGTCTCCTACCTCGATCTTCTATATCTTGGTTAGGTGTTCGCTTTGGATGTCACATTTCCTTTATTTCATCCATCTCTAGCTTATTTTCTTTGGGTGATACGCTCCACTTAGCTAAAGCATTTCTCTTGTTTCCGACATCCCTTTGAGTCAGTAAATCTTACTCATGATTGTGTGCTTTTTCCAAAGCACTTGTTTGCTTATTTGTTGGCCATACCATGCTTCCCTTAAGACCGCTCGATTAGAGTAGCTTTTGAGCTAGACATTAGGATATGTATCCATGCATGCTAACATAGGGTAGATATTTCCCTTTCAAAACTCAACCATAGGGCCATCGTTGTATGATAGATATAGGTTAGTCTCCCTTAGATGTTTTTTTCTTTCTTTTGCATCTTAGCATTAAGACTAAAACTCCTTTTTCTTGAAAAAAGCATAAAACATCTAACAATTTTCAAAATCCATTTTTCAAGGTAAAAAACATCAACCAATGCAAACTCTTTTGCGCCTTCGGGATTTTCTTTCCAAACTTTTTCAAAAGAACATATTAATTTACCTCTGTACTGACGCTTGAGTCCCCAAAGGTCGAGTTGCCGATGAAGGCGAAATTAATATTGTTCATTAAAAAATACAAACCAACAGAAACTTCTGAGCCGAACTACGGCTGCTCTGATTCCTTAAAAGGGATACGTAGGCATCGGGGTAGGGCCCGAACGAGCACAACTTCTTATTTTCCCTACATTATTTTCTCTTTTAGTTTGCATGAATTCCTTGTACAACTCAGATATATATTCTTACACACCCATTAGGTTAGAACAACATAAGTGGATACCGTAGAGTACTACGGGCGTGTGGGGTGCTAATAACTTCCCCTCGTGTAACAGACTCTATTACTCAATCTCTATATCGTTTGACCTCTATTTCACCCTTCTCAGGTTTACTCGATGTTTACCTTTCCCTTCCTGTGGGATAAAAAACGTTCGATGGCGACTTCATTGATTTCATCTTGATGATTTATTCAGCTGGTTATTTCAGAGGGTGGATAAGAGTAGCCTAGTTAGAGATGAACCTAGATAAACCAAAGCTTGTTTTATAGTCTTTCCTTATCCATATTTTTTCTAGCTTGTTTGCGAATTATTTTTCATGAAATAGCTTATTAGAAAACCCAATCCAAACCCCCCCTTTCTTGTGTTTTTCTCACCCTTCAATTGGCATTAGAGCTCTGACTCTTCTTTGATTTGTAAATCAAGCCTTAACCGTGTAGAGAGATCCAATTGAGAAAAACATACTACGGTTGCTCCTACAAACAACAACGAAAAATATAACTACTTTATTAAGCCTCCTATGTTTGATGGAGAAAGATTTGAATACTGGAAAGATAGACTAGCGAGTTTCTTTCTGGGTTATGATGCAAATCTTTGGGATTTGATTACAAATGGATATAGAGAACTTGTATCTGAAGAAGGAATTCCTATTCCTAGGAGTCAAATGAATGAAGATCAGAAACGACCAAGTAAAAATCATTATAAGGCCAAAACCATTCTTCTGAGTGCTATCTCATATAATGAATATGAGAAAATCACCAACAGAGAAACAATTAAAGAGATCTTTGATTCATTAATAATAACTCATGAAGGAAATACTCAAGTAAAGGAAACTAAAGCATTAGCTTTAATTCAGAAGTATGAAGCATTCAAGATGGAAGAATATGAAAATGTTGAAACCAAGTTCTCAAGATTTCAAACCTTAGTAATTTTTAGACAAAGGGTATACTACAATGTATCATCTTATGAAGATCGTTAGAAGTCTTCTAAAGAAGTGGAGACCTATGGTAACATCTTTGAAGCGTTCTAAATATCTGAAAAAAATCAGCCTTGAAGAATTAATTAGCTCTTTAAGAAGTCACGAAATAGAGTTATAGGAAGGTGAAACTCATAAAAAGGTGAATTCTATTTCTCTAAGGTCTAAATCAGAAAAAGTTAAGTCTGGAAGACTCAAAGCTCTCAAATATGAAGAAGAAGAGGATTCAGATGATGAATACTCTGATGAAGATGATGAATTTTCATTACTTTCTATAAGAGTGAAACAACTCTGGACAAGACAAAACAATTCTAGAAGATTTAGAAGAGACTACTTAGATTCTTATTCAATAGGAAACAAAAAAGTTACATGCTATGAATATAATGAACCAGGACATTACAAAAAGGATTGCCCATGCTAAAAGACTCCAGAAATAAAGGTTCCAAGAACAACAACTTCAAAGGCAAAAAAGAAAGGCCTCATGGCAACATGGAAAGATTCAAAAGCATCGAGATCAGATTGTAATGAAGAGCATGCTAACGTATCATTCACAACTATCGTCTCAGAAGAAAGCTTATCAGATACAGAGTCAGACTTTGAAGAGGTATTTTCTAAAATTCCTCATGCTGATCTAAAAGTAGCTCTATCTGATA